AGTCTGCTGCCGTGAGCAGCTCTGACAGGGAATAGCCACCGGGCAGGAAAAGGAAGCCGCTCTGTGAGCTGGCACCACATGGGATGTGTGCCAAAACAAACCAACCCACGGGCTCCAGCCGCCGCAGCGTGTCCCTGATGCCATCCCACATGCACACTGCCCTGCTCCAGCCTAGCACTGGGCTCTGCCGGGACATCAAGGAGTACCTGCATCCAGGTACACCGACACCCCGGGGCGCTGCAGCCTCCCCCCAGGCTCAAAGGCAACTCCAGCCAGCCCTAGCTGTCCTACACCCAACCCTGCCCCTCTGCAGGGCTGTACCAAAGCCATGAGCTGTGTTTTTGTGCGCGTGGTTCTGCTGAATACGCTCCTGGAGCAGCTGTAAGTAACTGCACCCTGCCAGTGCACACCGAGACGCCCAAAACGCGCAGGCCTTCCCAGGGGGCTGGACCTTCCCAGCCATCTCCTTATGCCTCAGTTTGCACAGCCTCAAACCACCTTTGCTTTCGGCTCCTGTGCTGAGGTGAAGTTGGCTGTTGTCCACAGGCACGGTAACAGCTGCCTTACCTTTCAGGCTGTCTGGCATAAACCAGACATGAACCCTCCCTTTGAGAAGTGTTTCTGAGCAGGTCTTCAGCTCCGGTGTAATTCGGCCCTGGTTGCTCATAAAAGGCACGTCTGTGCTTTCATTGGGGAACTAATTGCTTCCACATTACAATGTCCCGCTTGCTGATGTTTAGCATCTGTCAGGAGCAGACGTTTTCGTCCCCAGCTGGGGGTCCCATGGCACAGCACAGCCTCTGCAAAGGCCCTACACCACCGGCGCAGCACCAGCCCCTGCACTGCCCCCGCGCACCTCTTTCACCTCTGGTTTGGACACAGAAGAACAGTGGGCATAGAAGGCATGCATGCACATCCCTTCTTTTGTCCTTTTTGTCCACCTCCAGCACCTCATAGGCCCATGTGCAGCCCATCTGTCCTTGTAGAAAGGCTTCCCCCAAACCAGGGGACCTGCTCCACCGAGCACTTGCCTTGGCTGCAGTTCCTCACATCCAGCCCTTGGGCTGAGGACCACCGCTGTAACACAGGCACGTCTTTCTGCACGCAGAGCTGTTTGCCTTTCATGCTTCGTGTTTCCCAGACATACAGCAGCAGAGGAATGTTACAGGGAACGCCTGGTTTGGATTTGTCAAGCTGGTTTGAACAGACCGCAGCCAGACCCTTTTCCTGCCTCCCAGTTTAGCTTTTTCCAGGCCTGCTTTCCTAGGACTGCTCCACATAACCCCTGCTGAAGAGGAGGTACAAGCTTCTCCTTCACATTGATTTATCCACCTCCCCATTAAATCGTGCTACCAGCATGAGACTGGTTCTCCTCAAGGAACAAAACATCATTATATCTGTGTGGCAGAGTGAGTAAAACCATCTGTGGCTAGCTGGTCTGTGGCTAGCTCTGTCTGGGAATGACATTTTAGGCGGCAAGATGGGGCTGGTGACGGGTTTCGCAGGCTGGCACTGTTGAGATGTCTAAAGATAGCTGCAGTGCAGGCTGGTGAAGAGGCATTTTTAATCATCCTCCAAACTAAAACATGGACCTGCTCAAGCAAGTCCAGAGGGCCACAAAGATGATCTGCGGCTGTAAAGACAGGCTGAGAGAGTTGGGATTGTCCAGCCTGAGGAAGAGAAGGCACCAGGGAGCCCTTAGAGCAGCTTCCAGTACGTAAAGGGGGCCTACAAGAATGCTGGAGAGGGACTTTTTAGAAGGGCATGTAGTGACAGCACGATGGCTTTAAACTGACAGGCAGGAGATTTAAATTAGATTCTAGGAAGCAGCTCTTCCCTGTGAGGGTGGTGAGACCCCGGCACAGGGTGCCCAGAGAAGCTGTGGCTGCCCCATCCCTGGCAGTGTTCAAGGCCAGGTTGGACACAGGGGCTTGGAGCAACCTGCTCTAGAGGAAGGTGTCCCTGCCCATGGCAGGGGAGTTGGAACTGGATGAGCTTTAAGGTCCCTTCCAACCCAGTCTATGATTCTGTGATCTGCAATTCTATGTTAGAGCAATTCTATGTTAGAGCCTGCCCAGGCTGCACACTCACAAAGGAGCACACGGGCACAATGGTGGGAGAGGGAGCCCAAATAACACCCTGTGGGGCTACTCCCAGGACCATCATCACTGTCTTTAGCCCATCAAAGACCCATTTGCACAGCCTAGACCTGCACAGGGGCACAGGGGCACAAGGGCAGACAGGAACCCAACTGAAGGACTCCTGAAGACTGAATACTCTGAGCACCTTTCAGAGCCATCAGCCCCTCTGACCAGGAGCAATTCCCATAACCACAAGTCTTTGTCTTGGGGGAAATCTCATCAGTGTCTATGAACATCTGAAAGGAGGGTATAGAAGAGGATGGAGCCAGGCTCTTGAAAGTGAGGTGTCCCTGCCCATGGCAGTGGGATTGGAACTAGGTGGTCTTATGGTCCTTTCCTACCCCAACCATTCTATGATTCTATGACAGGACCTGAGGCAATGGGCACAAACTGAAACACTTTTTGACTGTAAGGTTGAGAGCACTGGCACAGGCTGCCAGGGAGGTTCTCTCCATCCTTGGAGACAGTAAAAAACCATTTAGGCACAGTACTGGGCAGGCTGTTCTAGGTGGCCCTGCTTGAGCAGGGCATTGGCCCAGCAGACCTCCAGAGGATCCTTCAACCTCAACCTGTGTATTGTGAAGATCTCTAAAACACCTCTTGAACTAAAGAGGATTGCTGTCTAAGGATGTAGGACACATCATGGAATGCAAGGGAAGAGTAGTTTGAGATTGCACAGGGCTTTTTCAGGGGAGGAATCAAAGGTGGGAAAAGAGAGGATTCAGGTGTTTTGGGGAACAAGTGTAGAAAATAGAGGGTAACAGGATAAAGAGGGCTACTTATGTGTAGTCAGCTAGTTATTACAGTTGTCTGGCCATGCCCTGTATTTGATCAGTACGATTTATCCTGCATCCTTATTAAATTTCACTTTCCTGAGTGAGGGCTCTGTATTCCATGTCCATGTGAGCATATGGGGATGAGAAGGTGTGAGAGACTGAACTGAAATCAGACTCCACCATCCATTGTCTCAAAGATTGCTATGAGAAGCTGAGATGGGATTCCAGCAATCCATTGTCTCAGGGATGGGTGGGAGGAGTTAAGACCGCAATGTCCATCGCCTGGGAGATGGGTGTGAGGAACTGAAATGGGACTCCACTGTCAGTTGAAAGATGGTGAGAGGAGCTGAGATAAGACTCTTCAGCCCATTATCTCGAGGACTGGTGTGAGGAATTGCTGCCCATTATCCCAAGAATTGCTGCAGACTTGCAGTTGAAGAGCTGGCTGCAAGGCCAGCGAAACTGGTCCACCAGGAACGTGTAGTACCTGACATTAAGAACACAAGTACTCCCCCAGCTCATTATAAAAGGGGGAAAAGGTAATTGCCATGAAGGACACCTCTGTGAGAACACCCTCCACAAGGACACCAACCTCTGATGACTGCTGCAGGCTGCTTGGGACACTCTGCTCCCATACCACCTACGGACCCTGGAGGACTCCCACCACCTCCGATACCGACTACAGATCCCTGAGACACCACTGGAGCCACAGTGGTGACTGTCTCTCTCTGCACCCCCAATTCTTGCTTAATTTCTATCTTTTTTTCCCCTGAACTGTCTTATTGCTATCTCTTCTTTTACAATAATTTCCTTTTTTGTAGTAAGTGTCTTTTTGTAATAAAACAACTCATCGATTATGGTACTTGACCTCATTTGCATCTTAATTTCACTCTTGGGATCACAAACAAAACGGGTGTGACACTGGGGTTTCAGGGCAGCAACTGGAGTCAGACCATGTGCCTAACAACAGCCAGTGAAGCTGGAAAAGGGTGAAATGGCCTGGGAGAAAGCAGGTCTGGGGATCTTTAAGGGCCAGCTCAGGGTGGCAGAGCATTTGGTTTGCTCTAGGGGAGCACACGGCTGTGCTGCCAGGAGTGCTGGCCAGCTGCGTGTCTGTAGCAAGACTGTGTACCACGAAGTGGAGTGGGGCTGCAGCCTCAGAGGGTCACATCTCCAGGTACCAGTCCCTGAGAAAATGGTGTCATTTGAGTGTTCAGCCCAGCCAGGGATCCACCACGTGCGTGTGCACGTAACGTGTGCATACAGGCTCTTAATGCTGCCTGTGTTCACATTAAGTGCTGTGTGCCTGTGATGTGCGTGGCAAGCCGCGTACGTACATGGTGCCTATGTGTGCTCTGTGCCTCCTGGGAATTCACTTCAGCCTCACTAATGGCTGCACCTGGCAGGATGGAGCTGCAGCAGCCTCACCTCTCTTTGGTTGTCAGGCCTGGCATGATATACTATCCTCTAACACCAGCCTTCCTGCTGGAGCTGTTGTTAGCAGGATGCTTATGCCCACACAAGAGTGCTCTGTCAGCAATTTGAAAAGGATACAAGGAAGCAAGTGAACTTAAAGTGTTTTATTCTAAACCCTCTGTTTCAGAAACCTTTACACAAGCTACAGAAACCAATCGAAGCAGTGAGTTGCAAAAGTTTCATCTTCAGACCTGCTTTTCATTAATTTACCTTTCCTGTGTCCAAAAGCAGGGTGCTGCACTCCCTCGTTTGCCCCAGATGTTGAAGGACCTGATTGTTGGTTGATGTTCTTGAATTACTATCAGCCACTAGAAGGGTCATACCCACACTCGAGCATTCCCTGCTCCTCCCCACTCCCTCCACCCCTGTCCACTTTGGAAACTCTGGAAGCTCCCAGTGAGAAGCTCTTTCACCTCTCACAGCAAAGTACCAGCCACTCAGCCCATTCAAAGTGGCTGCAGTTCAGCAGCTGGATCAGGTGTGGACTCGTTCAGTTCCACCAGACCTGCTTCCAAAAACATGCCTGTCTGCCTTTAAAAAGGAGTCCAAGCTCTCCCAAATATCAACAAGCAACACAGTTCTCCGCTCTCTCTCTCACAGTCTTCTACCTTGCTCAGGTGACGAGCAATGCTATCTCCTCCCTGTGGTTTTCAGGTTTTCCACCAGAGAGGGAGGCTTTTTGGTCCTATAGGCAGCAGTGCCTGGGATCCGGGATCCTCTGACGGTGCTGATGTACGGCAGAAGGGGAGGCTCCCGCACCACCAGTGTGGTGCCCTGGGGAGTATAGGCTCGGAGCAGCAGTTTCTCTTCGGGGTGAGCTGTCACTGCCACCCAGCCTGCACAGCCAAAAAGAATACTCAGTGAGACAAGTTCTAGGATCAGAAGGAGGGTTCCAACACAAGCTCAGTGCCTCCCATGCTGGCTAAGAACCTTAGCTACCCAGGTGTGACTGCTCTGAGAAACCAAGCTCAAAGGTAATACCAGCCCTTTCCCAATAGGAGGCAGCACCCAAAGCCACATCTTACTCTTCCCCAGACATGCCCCTTTCCTGTGGTGGGAACCACCAACAGCACAATAATGAAGCTTTCCAATCCATGGTCCTTTCCCTCTCACCTGGACAGCCAACAGTGTCACAGCCATTCCTGATGCTGTGGAACTTGTATGGCAGCCAGACATAAAGCATTCCAATGTGGTCATCCTGTACAAGTATGGCTGTCAATCTCCTTTCTTGGAGGTTGCCAAGCCTCAGCTGGACAAAGTCATAGCTGCCCTGATTTTGCATTGGTGACAGTTCTGCTCTGAGCAGGAAATACAGCTTCATCCTTTCACAGGCCTCTTCCCATCAACGTTTCTAGGATGCAGACCCTGCAAAGTGAACTAATGAAGAAATATTAAATTACCTGCAGAAGAAAGCTTGATATCTGCGACTGCCTCAGTGGTACCAATTCCCTTCAGTGTAATGTCCTGAGGGACAAGGGGAGGGAACTCTTTCATTCGCTCTTCCCCACCCATAGGAACCTAAGATCAAATCATGGAGAAAACATTTAACAGTCAACAGGCACTTCACCACTCCTACCTTAAACTGGTGAGCAAGGCACAAGTGGGAATAAAGATAACGGACCACTGTTAGCAAAACAACAGCTGGCTTGAATACCCTACAAGAGTTATTTCAGGTTTACCAAGAACAGAATCAACGTCACACCCAGAGCAACCCAGTGGGAACCCAGAAGTGAGCAAAGATGGAGTGCCCACTGCAGGACCCAGCCTTGATGTGAGTGACAGCACTTGTTCTCAATGTGCACAGGGATGGAGCTGCCAGGACAAGGACAGCTCACCCCATTCCCCCATCCATCTGCAAGTGCTATACAATATGTGGTAATACCAAGGAAAAAGTCACATCACCAAAGATGAAGGCATATGCAGAGGATCCGATGGGGAAAGAAAAAGGTAAATTTTCCAACTGCAATCTGTTCTGAAACCCCAGCCTGAAGTTTGCCATAGAAAATATCCCTGTAGCTGCCTGCACTTTAAGGCTGTTCAAGAAAAGCCAAGTATCAGAGAGCAAAGCACTGCAAATGTTATAAGCCTGAATGCTAGAAGCAGGAGCTCTGCTCAAAATGTATCATCTTGGGTGCTCTCTCCTAACAAAGCTGCAGCCATGCAGTCTGTGCACAACTGCTCCACGCTGCACAACTCCACTCACCCACTGCTGAAGCCCCAAACTCCTGACATAGGCTAGTTTTCCTCAACAGTTGTGCTCCAGGCAGGGCGCTGCACCAGCTGGGACAGCCTGACTAGCTGCAACCAAGAGCCCACCACAGCACCTCCTCTTACCTTTAGTAACTCTTGGCCAGCATGCTTCTTGTAGATGGCATCTGCATTACTCAGGGAAGTAACATGCACTGGCAACAGGTTAGAAGCCACGACAGAAAACCAGGCAGGCTTTTCTCCCTGAAATAAGTAACAAGAGGAGGATGTTACTTATGATAACAGAAAAGCAGCCCTGAATTGCTCTCTCCTGCATATTGAATACCTGTTTGACTGATGTCCCCTCCTTGGCTGAGGGGTCTTTGCCTCTGTCACTGAAGAGCAGCCAGGGTTTATATAAACAGGGGAGCTGAGCTTCTAGGAGAGAAGCACCCACAGGTTCACCATCCTGTCTCAAAGCACACCCAGTACATCCCCTGCCATCGCATCTGCTTAGCTCATCATCCAAGAGATATCTTTGCTCTAGTTTAATTCCCAAGAACAAGCTCAGTGTGCTTATTTAGCATGAGAGGTGAGGGACTTTCCCTGTCTGGTACTGATTCTCCCATCACTTGACATTTCTAACAGGCACCTCCCATTGAAGAATACTTGGTTCCAAGCTGCTCTCAAGCTATGTAGAAATTGAATGTGAGGCAATTTCAGCAGGCATTCTCATAACTTCCGTGTGCAGAGAAAACAAGGTTAGAGAGGGGAGGAACCTCTACAAACACTGCTAGCAGCCTGAAATTAGGAAACCCAAGTGCAGCAATTCTTTCAAGATCTAATCTGATCTGATGCTGGGGTTCCTCTGTTATGATCTGAGCACATCTGCCTTCCTTCTCTGAAGGATGTAGATACACAAGACTGATAGAGCAATGCACTGAGACAGATATGGAAGACCTTTGGGGCCCTAAATGTGCACAGCTCAGCTTGCTAGGAGCACCATTACATGGAAAACAGACTTATAACTTGAAGCCTACCTGCCAGCCCTACTGCACTGGACGTGTCTCCAAACCTGATCTTCTCATCAGGAGATGGTGTGGCACTTCTTTACCCTGACAACACTGGATGGGTTCTACAAAGTCATCCCTCATGACAAACAATGCCCTGGGGCTGCCTGATCCTGCAGAGGGTATTTACTGCCAGCAAAATGTCACCTGCATTGCTGTCCTACTTTGTCAGGTACACACATCCAGGTGCTTTCTTGAATCCCTGATAGCACCCAACCAACATGCCTAGGAAGTTCTTTTCTGAGAGCTCTGCCTAAGACAGTATGAATAAAGACAGTTCTTTTCTCCTGGGTTGCTCTCCTCACAAACAGCACTTTTTCCCTGAGGGAGGCATTCCTCCTCTCTACAGCCAAGCTGTTTTTCAAGATGGGGCTCTGGATTCTCAACTACATTGAAGCTCTCCTGCCATACTGGTACACTACTGATTCTGCCCCTCTGCTCTGGTGAGACCCCACCTGGAGCACTGCATCCAGCTCTGGAGTCCTCAGTACAGAAAAGAAATGAACCTACTGGAGATGGTCCACAGGCGGCCACAAAACATGTTTAGAGGGATGGACACCTCTTCTACAAGGAAAGGCTGAGAGAATTGGGCTTGTTCAGCCTGGAAAAGACTTGGGGAGACTTTATTGTGGCCTTTCTTAAAATGGGCCCTTGAGAAAGATGGAGAGAGACTTTCTAGCAAGGCCTGTCATGATGAGGGGTGATGGTTTTAAACTAAAAGGGGAGATTCAGACTGGACATGAAGAAGGAATTTTCTACAGTGAAGGTGGTAAAGCACTGGCACACAGGTTGTCCAGAGAGGTGGTGGATGTGCCACCCCTGGAGACATTCAAGGCCAGGCTGGAGGTGGTTCCGAGCAACCTAACCTAGTTGAAGATGTCCCTGCTCATTGCAAGGGTGTTGGACCAGATGACCTTTGAAGGACCTTTCCAACCTGAACTGTTCTGTGGTTCTATGACTTTATGTGGTGCTTTTTTAACAGATTTCTCATCTCAAGAGCAGTAAAAAAAGGGTCTGGGAAACCTACTCAGAAAACCTTTTATCCTCTGGTACTGTAATAAGTGATGAAGCAGCAGCTCACAAAATCCTTTCTCCACTTACCTCTAAGTAGTCTACACGTCCCAAGGCTGCTAAAAACAAGACCATTCCTGGCTTGAGAATGAAGGTCCGTGGAACAATGGCAGTTGTGGGCAAAACCAGCTTTACTTCTTTATCTGTCAGGAGATTTAAAACCTGCAAAATAAACCGTACCACTGTAACTCATTCCAGATGTTTCAATGGGGACAATGCAATTAATACTGGCTGATAGAGGAAAAAGATCAGGTAGAGCAGTGTGAAGAACATTTAACAGAACAGTTCAGTTCTGGTCCACACAGTAAGTAGGAAACAGGAGAAGGCAGGGATGTCACCAATCTTCATGGCAATGCAGGGTCCATAACAAATTATTACAGCTGCCAGAAGCCTGCTGACCACAGATCTGGAAATCCTGGGTCTGGTTGGAACAAGCTCACCCAGGATTTACTATGCTTTATAGCATGAGTGGAGCCACGTGGAGAACTGGACACCAACTTTGGCTGCGACATTTGAGTTACTCCACTAAGGCAAAGTGCCAAATCAATACTAGTAGCAAAGCTAGCCTCAAATATTGCACCAAGAGAAAAGTGCTGGATCACACTGTGAAACAACTCCAACTGCAGGATGACCAGCCTGCCACACAGCATGGATCCCTACTCTGAGCACAGTGGAGCAAGCTCTCCTCTCAGTGAGGAATCCCAATGTTTCTGCTGCCTCTCCTCCTCTCCCTTTCCTGGATTAACTGACTCATCTGTTTAGGTGATAACTTGTTTCAGTGCAAGGATGCACCCCAAGGTCTGCTTAAAAGCCAGTGACTTAACTAGCAGTGCTGCAGCACTTTCTACAGAAGCACTGTTCAAACCCAGCTATGAAACAGTGTGCAAGCCTACACATTGACTATGCCTCTTTCCTAAACACAGGGTACTAACAGCAGAAATGCTTCCAATTGTCCCCCCCGCCCCAATGCCACAGTCATGCAAATACAAGTTTGCAACAGTCCAGCTTTGAGGATTAACCAATTCAGCATTAAAAGACTGAACGAACAAGGGTTGTGGTGCAGCCAGAGCCCCTAATGCTCTTCCCAAGTTCAGAAGCAGATAACCTTTAGCTTGAAAGCCAGAAGACTTCAACAACTTCTGAGACGAGGAGGCTTTGCCCTACTAGCTGTGGGTTTTCTGATGTGTTTGACAATGCTTATCCCAAAATTTGAGTTATCAATAATCCTTTTGTAGGTTTCCCAGAAGTCATAAGCCAACAGCCACATTCCTTCCCGCTTCCTCCAAAATAATATTAAAACCCAAAACCTGCTCATAACTAGAAATCTCCCATCTATGTGGCAGATCTTGGCAACCTGCTTGTCCTCCAGTTACATTGAACACTGACTGCAGGAACAAAATCTGATCTGAAACATGGCACGTAGCTCTCCAAAGGCACAGCAAGGATAATCAAAATCAGAAATGGCAGGAAGTATTTCTGGATGCGGGAAAGCCCCTTTGGTTTCCACACTTATTCAACTCTAGAGGAGGGGAAGAACATATCCCATCTCCAGTTACCAAACCAGGTCTCTTAAGATGATGACTGACTTTACACTAGTTATCAGAGAGCAAAGCTCCACAGTAAAGTGGGTTATGATCTGGCAAACACGTCTACCAGACAACCAGCAGTTTTCTAGTATTCATGAAAGCAGCATCTGCACTTGAGCTGTGCCATCTCAGTAGAGTTCTTGCACTTCATTCTCTTCAGAACTTTCCTATTTCCTTGTAGTTCTTAATCTTCCCAAAAAGACGACCTGGAGCTCTGCACAGGTATTGCAGCAAACAGAAATCAGAACAAGGCTTTTTTGGATGTGTGCACTACATCAGCACTGACTTCAGAGCACTGGGGTAGGCCTGATGCACTGGAGCTATTAACAGGAACCCTGCAGATCCTGTTAGCTTCAGGACAATGCTTCCTCAAAGATCTAGTTCAATCACACAACACTGGTTATCCTCCTGAGCTCCACCTTTTTCAGTAGGCTGATAGAGCTAAAGAAGTGCAGACTTCATTGGGTGATACAGGCATAAACCTGCTTACAGCACTATTGCTTACTTCCTGTCATTCAGAAGTTAAGAAAGTTTGATGACACAGTCAAACAGTCCCTTTGCAAAGATCACAGTATACACTACTCAGAAATGCAACACAATGAACCCTCCCCAAGTAAATACAAACCAAATTTTAACACAGTTGTTCAAACCAAAAGAATCCTAACCCCAGGACTGCAGCAGAAGTACTCTCCCACATGCACAACTAAGGCAGAACAGTCCTCCCAAACCCCATCATCCCAAAACAAAGCACTGCAGAGTACCTACACAATTTTCCTTTACAATCCCTGGAGTGTCAAAACACCAGCGAGCATCCTTCACTTCATTGTACGTGAACTCCTCCCTTTTCTCACGCTTCTTAGAAGCAGGTTTAGGATCTTCATCTATGCTGTAGGAGAGCACGTCAGGGTCAAAGCCAATCGCACGGCTAGACTGCTGCTGTCGAAATGTTCTTCCAACTCTTCCTGGATTAAAATGAAAGGTTCCTGGTAATTAATTTATTAACTTGCCTTTCTTTCAATACACCATCTGTCCCTTCCCCTTGCTTAAAAGGGAGGCATGTCAGTAATATGAAGGTGACAAAAGATGCTATGTGGCTATAAATTTGTGCGTTCACAAGCGAAGACGCTCAGAAACCCCTTCTGTAATTCTTGCTTTGCACTCCTCAAGCCCCAGACCTTAGCAAGGACCAGATCACAAGCTCTCCATTCTTTCTGTTTTACAGTAAAGCAGGCTGCCTTCTTTATTTCCTGTGCCTTAGACTGTCAAATACAGAATTATTTGAAAAATCAGAGCTATCTTCTGGCAACCCCCTTCTGGATACATATGAAAATGCTGTACAACCACTGTGACCTGCAGCCAAAGTGAAATTATTTTAAAGTGCAACTTGTTTTCTTCCTTCGGGAATGAACCTGGTTTCTTCCTTCCATGATTCTATGAATGAGAGATGCCTTTAGTGCAGCATCGTTGTAAACTACGAAGTTATGTGAAGTAGGTTAGCACATGCTGATGGCAGGTGCACTGCTCTGCAATGCTACTGTACTGAAACAATAGCTGAAAAATATGTACTTGAAAGAAATACTAATGATTCCTCTTATGAAGGAGCCGGAGCTCTTGGACCAATTACTCAGAGAACAAAAACTGGTCAAAATAACTTGAATGCAGGTTTGGAAAACTTTTAATTGCTACTATATAGCAATACTAGATAGCATGTTCTTCCTGCAACTCCTGTACCAAATAAAGGGCTTATTTCCTAAAAATAAATACATAGTAATGTGTATGCTCCACCCCTGGAAGTGTTCAAAGCCAAGCTGGATGGCCTTAGAACAACCTGGTCTAATGGAAGGTGTCCCTGCCCATGGGAGGGGGATTGGAACTAGATGATCTTTGAGGTCCCTTCCAACTCTAACCATTCTATGATTCTATAATTAAATGAGAATGAGTTCTTTCAGCATGGGAAGAAATCACTTGCCAAAACCAACTGGATTCTACAGCAAGTTAAGGAGTTAACAGTACTCTGTGTAATGAACTATTTTCACTGAGACAGGGGGCAATGCTTTTATTCAGACAATACTCACCCACTAAGTAACCTTGCTTTTTAAGTCTATTAAGGAACTTTTTTTCTTCACTGCTTAGCTCATCTTCTGTTTTTGCTGCCTCCTCTTTCAGCCTCTTCTGCCTTCGGAATATCCTGTCACATGTAGGATTAATAATCGGAAATTTCAACAGATTCAGCGTTGTTCCTGGAAGAAAACCCGAAGGCACGTTTGGGCCTTTGGCTATCAGGCACATTTAAACTCTGAGAAAGAGCATGGAAAAAGTAAATAAAATCAAGACTGCTTCTCAAACTTCTGGGTGAAACCCAGTAACACATAGTTGGAAGTGGAATGACAACTGCTCCACTGTATCAGCTTCCCCAGCCAGGGCAGCAGAAACAAGGCATCCATCTGCTTGAAAGTGCTTTCACCTATGTTTTGATGAAATAGGTCTCAAAGCCAAGTGGTGCCAAGACTGTCTCAGTACACCCCAGGCAAGTCCCACCTCCAGGCAACTTGGTTGTATCTACAGGTGCTCACCAGTCCACCTCCTGGTCTCTCGAGACCAGAGCTCACCCCTAATTGATAGGGAGATGGTAAGGCACAGAGATTGGGTGCTGTCCCCACTGGCAAGGGATCACGCAGGCTGGCTCCAGCTTACCAGCCCCCTTAGTGCTACTCTGTGCGTACCTCCCACCCTTGCTGCCCTGAGGAAGGTGATGAGCCAAAGGGCACCGCAGCACTGGAGCTCACTACCCACAATGGCAATGGTTCAGGGTGACAGGTTCTATGACAGGTCCTCCTGCCCCAGGGATGGCTGAGAGTAGCCCCGATGTAAGCACTCGATACCATGTGTGACCCCCACTGTGACAGGGAGAACAGCAGCCCTGACCTGGCCAGGAGGAGACGGTGGCCCTGTCGATGATGTCGGAAGCACGAGACTTGCAGTAGTCAGAGTGTAGCAGGGTGTTGAAGAG